GAATTCTCCTTGGCAAAGCCATGCCAAGAGCTCTCCCTTGCTTTGCTCAGCAGCTGGAGATTGCTGTCCCCTCCCCACAGCTCAGGTGCACAGGGCAGGAGGAGGCTGCTCTTGCTCAAACCAAGTAGCAGGACATGAGGAGCTGGAGGAATCCAGCCAAAGGAACAGCTTTGCTCACTTCTGCTTTGGCTTCCTCTGTGAATGTTTTCTCTCAGCACTGGTTGATGGGTTTCAGACTGAGGGAATGTTGGGAAATTAATGGGAGAATTCTGTGGCACATTGCACGAGGTGCCAAGGACCAGTGGTGATGCACAGCAGCTGGCAGAGCCCTGGTGTGCCCCTCACCTGGGCTGCCCCCACGGCACCTGCACACCCACGGCCACTGGTGCAGCTCCTTGTTCACACCAGCACCTGCTGCTCCACACCCACAGCGTGGCACTGGCTGGGCTGTGCCAACTGGACGGGTGGAGGGTTTGTGGCAAAAGCCACTCAGGGCAGGGGACGGGGTGGCAGAAAAGCTGCCGGGGCCTGGCAACTGCCAGCACAGTTTGTCCCCAGGGCTACTGGCACACAGCAGAGGATGGCCATGGCACGGGGAGGGTGAGGTGCCACTGGACCATGCTGCGTCCAGGGGAGTGTCCCTTCTGCTACCCCTGTACGAGTCACTGCCAGGTGCTCTTGGACATAAGGCTGCAAGGTTTGACCAGCTTGAATTCATCTCCTGACCTCAGGAGAGCAGAGCAAAGGTCTTGTTGGGCTCAGTGTGGGGCTCAGGCTGGTCCCCAGCTGACAAGTGGCCATGGACTACACACAAAAATGCTCTAAAGCTGACAGCACCAAATGTTTCTTCTCCACCTAAAATAGTTGTTTGGGATTCAGTTAGGAACAAAACTGCATCTTGTAGGTTTTAATAAAGCTTTTGGCAAACAGTTCAAACACTGTGGGGGGAAGAAGAAGAGAGAGGTTGAATTTATGGGAGTGGGAGGAGATCATTTGCTTTCTTAGGAATTGGAAAAGATTAATAGTGTGCAAAGGCTCTTGGATTCATTCCTCACATAGCAGAATGATTAGGAGACTTACTGGCTTGATATTCTTCATTCTGCCTTCCCCAGGTGGCTTAGAGACTGTCTGGGCTGCAGAGAAAAGGACCAGGGAGAACAGAGAGCCATCCCACATCAGCCCCAGGGAGTAGGTGGCTGTGGCATGCTGGGGGTGGAGGAGCACTGAATCTCACAGATGGCTTTGCTGGGAAATTAAATAGGTGCTTAATATTTCTGTAAATGCTGATCTGTGGCACCAGCACCTGAGAGGTGGTAGGAGTACAGGTCAATGAGGCAGGTTTGTCCTTCCAGCATATACCCACTCCTGGACCCCGGCGTGCCAACAGCACAGAACTGTTCAGTAACAAGAATCTGAACCTGGAGAAGGTCCTGTCTCTCTCCCACCACCGGCATTTTGCAGTGACCTGGTACTGTGTGAGGTGAATCCTGAAGCAAGGAAAAAAGGAAGGAAAAAGACAGGAATTTCCCAAGTTCTACTGAACAACCCAAAGCTTCTTTCCAACAGCCAAAACCTGATGCAAGCCTCACTGTGCACAGAGTGCAGGGGAAGGATGAAGAGCCACTGGATGCACATGGGGAACCACAGGACCTGACTTCCAGACAAGTCAGAGGCTGTGCTGGAGAGGCAGACTAGACTGGCTCAGGCACTGCTTCAGTCTTACAAATCTCATTTGGCTCTGGGATGACAGACAGCCCATGTCCCCAGAGACCTGTGCCAACACAGCCTTTAGTGTGGCTCGAGAGGCTGCAGCAGATCCACACAACAACCAGGACAGGACACACAGGTCACCTGGAGAGTGTGAGCACCAGGAGCCACTGACCGTGTCCCCTGCCTGAAGACAGTCATCTCCCCAAGAACAAAGTTAAGCTGGAAACTAGATGAGAGGATGGGCAGAGCCACTTGCTTTCCATTGGTGGTCCCAGTCAGAGTAACATTGGATAGATCTCCCAGTTTCTCCATGCTGCTGTAGCAGGGACAGTCCAAGCCAACACCCGGACACTTGGCCGGTACAAGCAGAGCATGCAGTGTTTTCAAGACTCCATAGACATCCCTGGAGCTGTCAGGTATGGAAAATGGGCTTCTGTGCTATTTATGGACATCTGTTGCACTCCAGTTCAGGAGTGGAAGGCTGCAGTGGTGCTTAAAACATCGCACTGGGAGGCGGCAGCAGCTCTCAGGCAGCCACAATCAGTCTGAGTTTTCAAATAATATTAGGAAATATAATGTTTGCTCTGTTAGAGAATGAATGAGGAACTTGAGCAAAACTGCTAAACATGAAAGTTCCTGGACATCTGGAAAAGATTAGTTCAGGAAGGTTCTTGGGACAGGGAGTTCAGGCAAGTTCAGGAGACACCTACTGCAGATCTGTGTCCACAGGAGGAGGGAGGAGGAGCAAAAGGCTGGGGGGAAAAGCAGGAAGGGAGGATTGAAATAAAACCTCTGCAGGATGGGCAGTGAGAACAGGCTCCATCCTGCAGTGACATGCAGCACAGGCAGCCCTAGAGGGTCTGCAGGGGGTGAAGGGGTCAAGGACCAAACCATGGTGGCAAAGAGCTGGCCAGGTAACAGCTCCTGCCCAAACCTGCAAGGGCAGACACGGGCACTGTGCATGTCCCACCTCGGGAAAGCACATCACTGCTTCCTTGCCACGTGTCCCCACCCACCACACATCCATCGATCAGCAGGTTTTGTCCCTCCTGGAGCTAATTGACAGCTCAGTAGGGCAAAGGCTGTGACAAAGTCACGAGCACCAGAGAAACACTCAAGAGAGCTGGGCATGGGGGACAGAGGGACACACCCAGTTCATGGGAGAATGTTTGCTTTATTTCGAAGCAGACAAACACTCAGGCAGCCCCTTGGGCCCTGCAAAGTCACAAAGGAGTTCTGCTTCAGGCCAAGATGAAAGTCTCAAAAATGAAAGTCTCAAAAAAAACCACAGGGGCTTGTGAAACCCATGCTTGGTTTATTAAATTAATCACAAAGCTTTTTATCACGTATTTCTGCCTCCGAGTCACTTTACACTTCAGTTCACGTGCCAAATTCTTTTTCTTTTCCCTAACTGTGGACCCTTGTAGTACACTCAGTTTTGGAATCTGTTTGAAATCCATGAGCTTATGCTGAAGCAGAGCTTTGGGGTTTCTTTTGGAAGCCTGGCATTACTCATAGCAGGTCCCCATTTCTGAGCAGAACTGTGCACAGGCCCCGCTGCAGCAGAAGTCAACGCTCACCCTGTGGGAGGAAACAAACCAATAAGATATAAGTCAGGTGCTCCCTATAAATGTTTGTCGGCATTTGAATTTAGTAACTGAATATAGTTTGTGCTTTCCCTGTAAGTGAAGAATAACTGTTTTCCAATGCAGTTAGCAGGAGGTAAAGCTGAAAATCAAAGTGTGAGCTTTGTGTTTCCTGACAATTTTCCTTTAACAAGGTAGTTCCAGCTGCTAACTGCATTTTATTGCATTCCTCAAAGACAGATCTCTGTGCAAGAACACTTTGAGAGCTCTGCTCCAAAAATAAAGGTATTTGGAGCTATTTTTATATTGGGTATATTTTAGCAGCTGGTCTCAGAGCCCTTGGTGCTGCCCTTACCCACAGCCTCACTCAGGTATGGCACAGGCTGGAGCCCCCAGCTCTGTGTTTGGTTCCCAGGCAGCTGGAGCAGTGGGTGCTGCTCTCACTCACCTCCCTCCTGTCCCAGGACTCAGGAAGATGCTGAAATCTGGCACCCAATGACATCCCTGTGCCACAGGTGTCTCACTCAGCCGTGCAGGCTTCCAGGCATGGGAGGAAGAAAAGTGGCCTTTCCACCTGCCTGCTGTCAAGTGCAATGCTGAAAGACTGAATGCCCACCCTGACTGTCTTCTTGGGGAAACCCTCCAACCCCCAGAGACTCCCAGGTGAATGCTGACTGAAGGAAGTCCCACACACATGAAAAACCATGTCCTTGTTAGCAATGGGGACCCTGGCAGCCATCCTGACTGAACATCCGGATTGGAACGGAACGAGCCCACAGCTGATCCCAATTAGAGAGCTCTGATGAGGAGGTTCACTCCCACCCTTCGGAACACTGCAGACAAATGCAGCTGATGACATGGCCCACCAGCCAGGAACAGCACAGAGCAATCAATCACCCCAAAACTTCAATGAGCACCTCTATCATCCCATTTCAGTCAGTCAGAGTCAGGGCACGGCCACTTTCAGTGCAGAAAGCTCCTTCAGCACTTTTAGCAGGGCTGTTGTTAGCCCAAAGACAGACATCAGGAGCCAAACATCTGGGGGAAGCAGAAGGGCCACCACCGAAGTGTGCTGAACACCTTCCAGAATTTAAATCCATTTGTTCTTCATGCAGATGTCCTGGACAGAGGCTGACAGAAGAGGGGTGTTGAAGGGCTGTGTAGCGTGTGCACATGTAAAGAAAATTCTGCATCCACGCACACTGTGACCTACTGGTTTGTGATGATGATACATCAAGGCCTGAGCAAGAGTAACACCCCCAACTCACCTGCAGCCATCAGCCTGTGTAAGGAGTGCAAGGCTCTACAGCTAAGCAGGACCTCCAGCCCCCGCCCTGCCAGGAGCAGAACCCACCTCACACCCACCGTCGGCTCCCTCGGCCAGGACACTCAACTCCAGGAGGGGGACGGTGGTTTTCTTTGCAATTAGAACTGCGCATGAAGCCCCATCCCATGAAGTCCCTGTCCCTGCCAGGGGCACTGGCAGCCCGGCCCTGCAGCCAGCAGCCTCCCTACCTCCACACGCCGCTCCTCCCAGCACCCCGATCTCCTCCTGCACCCTTTGCATCCCGATCTGCTCCCACCAGCCCTGCACGCCCCTCTCCCCCAGCACGGCCCTCTCCGCAGGTCGCACAGTGCCCTCAGGTGGCCGCAGGGACTCCCCAGGTTGGAGACAGAAACGGGAGCACACACACGACCACAAGGTGTCCAACACAATTCTTTATTGCCTTTGCAGGAGAAACTCCTGTTTCTTACCAAATAAGTTATTTAGAGAGAAACATCCCACGGCTTCCCGGGAACGAGAGGATCAGTGCTACAGTCAACAAAAGATGTCCCTACAGTGTCAGCAGCTGCTGCCACCAGACAATGAAGTTTTAAGACTGATTTCAGTGGGCCCTGGCAGATGTATCAGAGTAGTGTACTCTGACACCCTTGAAAACTGCCCGTGTCAGAACTCAGGCGTCCGTGCACCTCCATAATTTCATTTTCAAGCCAGATTTGCTCCCTCCTCCTCCATGCCCAAGTGGGATGAACACAAACATACTGCTCAGAGGCACATGGTGCCCAGTGTTTGTAAGCCCTGATCTGAGATATTTTCTTTATTTGTAAGGACAGAACTCAAACATCTTTCTTACATGGCATCAGTCTGAGGGAATCTGTGTTACACTTGTGCATCTGCAGCACCTCATGTCAGTAAGTCTCAGCATTTTTTCCATTATACAAAACATCTGCTGCAGGAGAACGAAAGGAAAGTTCCACAGCTGGAAGTGACTCCCTTCTCTCCTCATGGTTTGTTCAGCTCAGCCTCTTCTTCAGACACCAAGTCCATTTCCACTTGAAAACAGGACAGTCCAAGCATTTCCTGCTGAGGCCAAGAATCAACTCATTCCGCTTCCAGAAAGCACCAGTAGAGCTCCCTCATCCCCTTTGCAGCATTACAGAGCACACCAGGCTGGCAGAAGCTGGTCAGTGCCAGTCCCTGCTGCTCTGTCAGGAGACAGATGAGCAGAGCAGCTCTTGATGGTTCTCCACAAACAGCGAGACCTTCAGCAGTGTATCTGAGTCAGAGAGAAAACAACAACCTCGTCAGCTTAAGGCACTTCACCTATAGTCTGTACACCCCTAGACTTATGCTGTTTCTAAAGGCAATAAAGTGTAAGTAAAACTGACTGCGCAGTGAAATGGATCACTGAGCCCTTGTTACACTGTGAGGATGTTGCTTCCAGGAATGGCCAGGTGTGATGGTGAGTACTTTCAACTGAAGCTGACAGAAACCTCGAAGCAGGTCACAAAGATCAACTGAGCAGGATGACCTGCTGCCGCCGAGCCCAGTGCAGCCACCACGGCCAGGCCTGTGTGCTGTCACCAGGGCACGGACAAGAGCACCGAGCCCCAGGAAAAGACCCTCAGGTCTGTGCACATGGAACTACCTTGAACAACGTCTTCCTTGTGGTGCTCCAAAATCCTCTCCCAGGACTGCGGGAGGGCTTCCATGTCTGCCAGGTTGTCACAGCTGAGGCGCTGCATGAGCAGTTTGCTGTCCAGGTACCTTCGTGCCCGGTAAGGACAACAACGAGAGAACACCCCCCCGGCGCTGCCCAGAGCCCCCCCAGCAGGATACAGGTGCCGGTAGAAGCGCTCCACGTCCTGCAGCCCCTCCAGCACGTCGGCCAGCGAGGGGCAGCGCGGCCCGCGCCGCAGGGCCCCCTCCAGCCCCAGCTCGGCCGCCCGCTCCTCGTACACCCGCAGCACGGCGGCCGCGGCGGCGCCCGCGGCGTCCCGCACCTCCCGGAGCTCCGCCCTGCGGGCACAGCGGGGTCAGCCGGGCCCGCGCCCCCCGCCCGCCCCGGCCCCGGCCCCGCCACCCCCTCAC